CCTTTATCCACTATGCCACTTGAGAACACATAGCACAGTGAATGTTCACATGGCGACAAAGATGAGGACAATCGCCCGAATAATGTAAATAGTGTACATAATACCTTATCTCAGAAATCTAGACAGATACTGTTAGATGTTTATACATAATCCTTAGTTGAAGTTTCTGAATTAAAGATACTTACATAAATAATCGTTTTAAAACAACTGAATTATCTGTCCCACACGCAATATTTACGGCCTAATTTGTGTCAAGATAAATAATGACATAAGATGTAATGAAATGAACAACATCTACATTCGTTTGATAGAACAATTCAACATTAGTACATGAAGAAAAGAACAAGTCAATGATTCAACACAATCATAAAATATATTGATAAAACATGTTTACAAAATTATTCTTGTGTTTCGTTGGCATAGTAACATAAAAGAAAGGAACTTCATTGTTTGAAGTTGAATGTTTATACACAATCCTTAGTTAAAGTTTCTGAAGTAATAAAGTACATAAAGTCAGTGGCATATCTAGAGTATGACAAGTAGGGCAGATGCCATGGGTGCCGTTTGAGAGGTGGGACATTACACTGCCATTGAGCACTTGGCAAATAATTTGTCGTGTAATATTTATTAATAAGAAATTAAGGACTAAATCATCAGGCAATATTCAACATTGACAGCTTGTCAATGTGGAAATATTGCAATGCGCTAAGTTGTGTTACCTTGTTAGAAGATAAACTATTGGTCTTGATGTCCATCCCATTATTGGACAGAGAAAGTATTTTTGAAATATATCAAGTAGTAAACTTACCTATTCCCTACCCACGAGAACAGGACTTAGGGGTAGCTATGAGATACCGAATTTAAACGAAGAAAAGTATAAGGAAAAGGAACTTCTTTGTCTTCAGTGACTTTAATGCTCACCACGACACGTGGCTGAAACATTCTAAAGGTACTGATGTTGCCGTTATACAGACACTAAATTTTTCTATTGCCTAGTCCTTCACTCAAATCATGGACTTCTCTACTCGTTTCCATAGCCAAAACGAGCAACATGCTTCTCTATTGAATCTATTTCTCTACCCGCTCTTGCCAAACTTCACAATACTGGCCTTTTGGTAACTCGGATCACTCTGTGGTGGCTATTAATATCTCCTTCCAAGCATTCATTAAACTGGAAAACACTATCCATAAGCTCTCTTTCTGGTACCAGCATGGTGACTGGGACTCATCCCGGAATTTTCTTCATGACGACCCTTGGATTGACATGTTTAACTTCCCAATTGAAAATTACGCCACTGAGATTTATTCTTGGGTCAAAGTCGGAAAGGATGCTTTCATCCCTTCTCGGAAATACCAAGTGAAACCACAATCCTCTCCATGGTTCACACCGGCATGCTTGGCCGCAATAGCGCACATGACCCACTATTTCTGGCTATACCAGAATGACAGCCCTCGTCATAACAGGTGCCTATTTGCTACTGCTCGTAACAAATGTAAGCTAGTTCTCAAAAAAGCTAAGTCCCTGTTTGCTGAGAGAATGAGGCACTGCGTAGCCTCTAAAAACTTTGGCTCTTGTGACTACTGGCGTCTCTGTAATAGGGCACTAAATAAATGCAAGGTCTCTATCCCCAATCGATTTGATGTGTTATCATTCTCTGCTGATAAAACTGAATACTTTGCTTATAAACTCTCGTCAAACTCTTCTCTTGACTCATCTGGAATATCCCTGCCTAACTGATTCTACGTTGAGTGATATGCATATAACCTCTTCCACGGTTTCTGCTATCATCTCTAACCTTGATCCCCACAAAGCATGTAGATCCGATGATATCCCTGAAATAGTCATTAAGAAGTGGCCCATCTTCTTTCTAAACTGTACAATAAATGCCTCGCTACCTCCTGCTTTCCTGGTGAACCATCTAACCTGTCCAACTATCGGCTTATTTGCCTTCTGCCTCCTTTAAAACTACTAAAGGCCCTAATCAATGCTGAATTGGTTCATCATATCTCATCACGGTGCCTTTTTTCAGACAGGTAATACGGCTTTCGTTTCTCCAGATCAACTGCTGATGTACTAACGATAATTGCAGAAAGGGTCTATCGTTCTTTAGATAAAATCGGTGAAGCCCGGGATGCAGCATTGGACATCTCGAAAGTCATTTACAGGATCTGGCATTCAGGTCTTTTCCACAAGCTGAACAGTTTTTGAGCTTATCAAATCGTGAAATAAAAGTTGTTCTGAACGGCCACTCGTCTATATCCTTTCGTACTAACGCGGGTGTCTCACAGGGCTCCATCCTTAGACCTACGCTGTTTGTAAACTTCATTAATTAACGACCTTCTCGGTGACATTAACTTGGCATCTACGCTGACGATACTACCACTCCTGCTTCGATAGTAAGGCTTCTCAGTCCAACAAGGTCAAAATGTCAGCTGATGTGCAAAACGACCTCAAGACCGTCGTTAACTGGGACAAAAGATGGTTTATTAATTTTAACGCCTCCAAAACTAAACTTCTCTCTAGTTATCACCTGAGAGACCCCAATCTGCCTTCCATCAGCCTGGTTGATACTATCCTCCAGGAAAGTGACTGATTGCGCCTTCTCGGGCTAACGTTCTCAGCTGACATGAGGTGGAAATATTATACTAAATTCATTGGTAGATCAACTGTTAAGAAAGTCGGTTCACAGTGTCGGGCGAAATAGTTTTTCTCTCCAGAATCTATCTTGCATATCTATAAGTCTACTATTCGTCTATGCTTAGAATATTGCTGCCATATATGGTCTGGTGCAATTGCTATTTTCCTGGAGCTCCTTGATAAGATTCAAATAAGAATCAGCAGTATTATTGGTCCTGATCTGGTAGCTCGGCTTCAGTCACTTGCCCACCTCCGTAAGGTTGTCTGTCTGCGCCTTTTTTATAAATACTTTCATGGTGATTGTTCGGACAAGCTATTCGCTATGGTACATAGATTGTATGAATTTAAGCGCAATACTAGATTGGCAACGAGATCTCATCAATTTATAGTTGAGCTAGCACGATGTAGCCGTATCTTCTATACTAACAGTTTCTTATCTCGCACTTCTCGCTTGTGGAACTCCCTCCCGGCTTAATACTTTTCACACGACTTTAATCTGCAAAAATTTAAATACAGTTTCAATCGCTATCTGCTGTCCCCCTGACTGCACTTTTCTCTTTCTCCTCTTTATTAATGTTTCTGTTCCTAATTCCTCCCCACCCTGTAACCCCTTGCGTGTTAGTGGATGAACCGCCTTACTTAGGGTGATACCGATTAAAATCAATATTTACCTTGGAGGTATAAAATGTGAATATTCTTAAAAGTTCTTGCGACTTGATGTGAGTTGTCGAAGTTCGTGACAGCATCCATTCGTGCCTTCGGAGTCTTTAACATAGAGCTTTTGAGAACAGTACTTGTTCTCTGTTGTGGAAACGACTATTTTGCTGCAATAGTTGAGGTGAAAATAAGACTTAATCCTGTCGTTTTTATGACAGGATTAAGTCTTATTTGGTTGTCAAGACTTTGTTGAGGAGTAGGTTTCATGGCCTTTTTCTGAAAACCTGGCCGAGCCTACGCTCAGTCAGGTTTTCAGATGTTCTGGAAGGCGTCGCGTGTCCTACTTCCCTTGGTTGTCGTAGTGTCAAAAGGTCGTCTCTGATTTACCCGAAAAATTTTAGTGCTCAGCACAAAAGATCAGATTTTAACCAGCTCGAGTAGCCATTGGTTAAAAAAAATCACGTTTATCAAAACAATTTATTATAGTAAAAATACACTTCTCTTTTTCATTCCCCTTCCTTTTTTGCTCGCAGAGTGGCAAGTAAAGGCTTCAGTAAATTTTTTATCTTCATCCTTTCCCTCAAAACTACCCAGAGCCGAATGTTTTTTACCAAGATACAAAAAGGAATGGTGAGAAATTTATCTCTTTTTCTTTTTCCCCAGAGAGTTAAAAGGATTAATTAGATATAAAAACAATGAAATATTAATTGAATAAAGTTAGGCTTCCACAAAACTGAATTTTTCGTATGAGATCAGTCACCAAATTTATTCTGGTGAACAGAAAAATAATCACTATTTTGAAAACCGCTTGCAAGCCACACTGGATAATCTTGCGGTTTGGGGGGGGGGTTGTGGCATAATATAATCTCTTCAAATACAAAACATCACTCGGCAGACAATTGTAATTTCCTAGAGACAGGAATTTTACTTATTTTTATTTTATTCCTTGCAATAAATCGAGGCAATTTTTATTGCAATATCATCATATTTATCATACACTAGCATTAGAGCCCGGCGTTGCCCGGGGATGTAACAGTAAGAGATAGATCAAGTATCGACCATCATAAAGACTGAAAAATAAAATTGACAAAGATTATTGTTTAAGGTTGACGGACACGCATGTCTTAATTAGTTTTTTTTTGTTGTTTTTGTTTTTTTGTTTTTTTTTACGAATTGGTCAGACCCAAACTCAAACAAAAACATTGTTTTCAATCGTTATAAGTCTACCGATTGAATAGAATTTTATTATAAACAATTGTCTTGTAAATGGAATTTTTAAAGCATTCTAAATGTAAAAATAAAGAAAAAAGTGTGCAAGACAATAAGAAACACTACATGCCAAAAAAAAGTGAGGTTTTGTTGAAATCGGTTGAAAAATGTAGGAAATCCGATCCCATATATAAACGAACACAGACACACACACACAAACAACCTGGGTTTTATAATAAGTATAACTCGATATGAGTTGTCCCCCTTTCATTCTCGTGATTTCTCTTGTGTTTTCAAATTGATTTCGTGCAAAAACAATTGTGTTTTTCCAATTTTTGGCGCTGTCAGAACCACCGCAAGGTAATTTTACGTAGTCCGGTGAAGTTTTGTTGAAAAATGTAAGAAATCCGATCCAATATATAAACGTACACACACACACACACACAACCTGGGTTTTATAATAAGTATGATTCATAGAAATTGCAAGATACATCACGTTGAAACACCGGTTCCCGTACGATCATTGAAGCTAAGTAACGTTGAGCCTGGTCAGTATCTAGACGGGTGACCGCTTAGGAATACAATGTGCTGTAATCTTGGATGTGTGGGTGGTGTAATGGATAATAGCTCAAAATTGTTAATCGGAGAGTTACGTTCCAATTCCTATTGGGTCAGTCATATTCATATAGCCTTGGGCATGACATGAAACCACCTCTTCTTCTCCCAGCTATGAATTAATTAGCAAGACTTGTATCATTAATCCATTATTATATCCCCCACCCAAAAAAAGAAATTATTCAATCTAAAAATATTTTCCGGCTTTCAATAGGTTAGTAAACTGTAAAAAACAAATCAATCAAAACTCATAGAAATAGCCATATTTAAAAATGAAAAATTTTACTGGGTTTTAGTAAAAATTCAGTTACCGTATTGGAGAGCATATAAAACGCAATTCAAGAAAAAAATAGTAATTAGTAAAATTAATAAACCTACATATGGCATATAAAACGCTGGGGAATTTTAAAAGATATTTTTAGTAAAAAAAAAGTACGCCTTATATGCCGTCAAGTACGGCAATTCTTGAAGCTGAATTTTAAAATTTGGAAAATATTTGAAAAACGTCATGTATGTTCTTAAATAGTTTTTTTTTTTTTGTCAGATTGAGATTTTCATATGGTACCATGCGTGGCGCCAAACTCATTCAGAAATAACTTAGCTCCTAGCCAATGGCGATTCTACAGGAGGGACAGAATGGGCCAATGCCCCGCCCCAAAATTTGGGCTGGCCCCTCGGTTGCCCCCCCCAACACACACACTTTTCTAAGTTTTGTAGAGGAAAAAAATCAGAGCAGACAAATTATACTGTTCTGCTAATATTGACGTTAGTATTAAACCTTTGATTTTGTTTTAAAGTTAACCTCTTTTGTGGTCCAACAGCTGGAGAGTGGAAAAAGAGGGCAAGAATAGATGAGACCTCCACTACTATGAATGAAAAGTTATTCTGTTTAATTTAGTGAAGTAACATACTTATACTAAAACTCATTCATAAGTTGTGTACGATAGTGGTGTAGTATGAAAATAAAGACGCGGCTTGAATTTACCCCACTTCTCCGCATAAAAATCTCGAACCTCACCCCAAGTGACCACCCTTCAGAGTTCCAGAATTATTTTTGTTTACGTCTGTTAACCACCACCCTAATTTAATTGCATGAAATTTGCTAGAATTTCAGATCGTCAAAAATCGTTTTATATTAGTTAAAATCAGGACTCCTTGGAGAATGTAAATCATCAATTTTTTTCCAAATATCACCAACTTTTTAAAAATCTCCTCCAAATCGTAAAATAAAAATTGCAATAAAACTATCTAATTATTTAATTAGATAGGCTTTTATTTGCTTTTAAGGACATTATTGTCTGAAGAAAAGAATATGAATTTTTACAAGAATTGTTTGTATTTTTCTTTTTTTAATTTTAAAGTTTCAAAAATGTTTTTAAATTCTTCCAAACATCATCAGAGGTAGGTTATTAGGTTATTAATTGAAAAATAAAGACTATATTTACTGGACGAAAATTAAAAAAAACTTAATACAAATCATCCTACCAAAACTTTTTACAATAACCTTGGCTTTTTGTGTCAAACCCAAAAATAAACTACGCCTTGCAAATAATGGTCTCTATACACACTCAAGGGCGCCTACAATTTACCGGGTGCATTTAGAAAAGCATTAATAATAGAAAAAGGGCGGTAGCTAAGTATTATTTTTTATATTTTATCAAAACAGTCGAATGATAAGTCGTATTATTATTTATTTTTTTTGTTATTGTTGCTGTTGCACGAAAATTAAATTTCCTAAACATTAAACAACAATGATAAAAAAAATTAATATCATGCTCGAATAAAATGCCTTAACCAAAAACCCGTCATTGAATATTTCATTCATTTTTTTTTGTGAAAAAAATGATTACTTAATGAGGAATATAAATTATGTTATGCTTTAAGTGTACCCGGTAAACGGTAATGGAGCCCCTACTCACAGAGTCAGAACAATGCAAAAAGTAAAAAATGGACAAGTAGTGCAGCGAAGTGAAAAATGTTTCAAGGATTAGTTTATTTAATTAAATTTATTTATTTATTTACGAAGGACCGAAATAGAAATAACTTCTTTTTTTTTTGGGGGGGGGTAAAAAACAAAACAAAAAAACGAAAAATACATACAAATGTCGGAAAGTTCATGAAACTTTTCGTCTGACATATAACAACAATTAATGTTCTCACAGATAAAAAAGATATTCAGTTGATATAACGTAGAAAAATTAATAAATCTTCTGTTTATGGAAAAACTGAGAAATCAGGCCAATTTTCTTTTTTCATTGTACTGTAATAGGCTAATTATGATTAACCTAATTTAGTAACACACACACACACACACACACACACACACAAAAAAGTAATTTTAATACTTCAGAAAAAACGTTTAATTCGCTTATTTGGTTAATTTTTTTTTTTTTTGCACTTTTGATATAAATTATGAAGAGACAGAAACCTAAGAATAAGATACACGGCACCAGTGTTTCATTTACTTACCTTCGTTTGTTTAGCCATTTGTAAATAAAGTTTAGTTTTCACTACACTCTGTTAGTGTTTTACTTATCTCATTTAAAACATCGTTGTTCGAGTTAACGTTTAAAAGAAGGTCTTGAAAGAACATGTTTGAACACGTCGATTTATACAAAAATACGACAACGATCTATATTGGCCAAACGATTTGATTTAAGTCCGTGCCTGTTTTTCATTTTGTCTTTTCTTGATCTATTGTGGGAAATGTTTCCCGGCTTTCCCACATGAAAGGGTTAAGGTTAAAAGGTGACAGAAAAAGCAACAACGGCTTGAAAATTTAGAGCGGACAATTCTCTCTCTTAGGCGATAGAATAAAGACTCAAACTCCTGCTCGGGGTGTAAGAAGAAAAATGTCTATTTACATACACAAAAAAGTAAAGGGATATAAACAAAATTTGAGAGAAAGAAAGGGAGAAGAAAATTCCTTTAACTTAAAGGAAGAAAAAGTGTTCATGTAAAGGCTTTACTCAAAATATTTCTCTGAGCGCCTAATAGTTCTTTAACCTAGTAAATTGTTCTTAAGGAATTAACAATTTAACACTCACATAAGATTTCTTCAAACCTCTTGTTAGGGGGGGGGGAACAATCTGAAGATCCGTAGTTTGTTGTTGAGTAAGTTCGTAGGCCGACGACAGGAATTTTAAAGCAGATCTCGAGTAGTTTTAGTAGAGGGCCGACGTAGATTTCTTCCTTGAAACAGATTCAGAAGATGACTGGTGTTACTATCGCCGACCTTATCTAATCACGTGCGATGCCCAATACTCACTGTCAAAGAAGCGCCTATTCTCTGTATTTATTGAAATTAGAAGGCTCAGAAATATCGGGAACTTTTCCCTCCAAAATTGCTATACATTTCCCGGCCCTTTCATTCGTCCGAAAATATATTCTTTAGTTGTAAGCGTTAAAACTTAATAATATATGAACTTACTCAACAACAAACTACGGATCTATGGCGTTAAGATAGAAAATTTACGGATTGCGAAATGAAAATTTCCTGGTAGTGAAATGAAAAAAATCATATTATTTTAATACATCTTGGTATTTGTACAGAAAAACTCAGAATTTGTTAAAACTCCTAATGTCATCATTGAAAAGATGAATTACTATTTAATAAAAACTGTTATGTCGTGTATCCACTAAGTTCTTATTCCCCCTTCCGTTCTCGTTGGTGTCCATTTATTATATATGAGCTACCTGCTCATATGCAAATTATACTAATTTGCATATCACTACATCTCCCTATAACGGAGGGGCCTTATGCCGCGAGTACTTCTTGTGCCCTCCTGAACATCTTCCTTTATCTCTCTCCTTTCCCTTGGAGATCTAGATCTATCACGTCTTTCCCTATAATCGAATTGTTCCTCTTGCATACTCTGGTCTTCCTCTTCTAACTCTTCTCTCTCTACTTCTTCCTCCGCAGTTTCATTCTGCATTAACTCTTCTGATACATCAATAATGGGCATCTCTGAAGGCATTTCCTCATCAGATTCTTCTCCTTGGGATCTTATTTGGTCAGCATGAGCTAGAACACTGTTCCCATTTTCTTTATTTAATATTGCAGTATTATGTCCTTTCTGCATAATAAATTCGGCTGACTCTGGCTGCATATTCCTATTTCTTTTTACCACATCTTTTGATTTGTGGCATATGACATAGTCAAAGGGGACCTTAATTGTCTGCCCATTAAGGCAGATGGACTTTCAGGCCTGCCTGCATGTGGAATTGTTCTGTAACTTAATAGTAATCTTGGTAGGAAAGCATCGATTTCCTCCTTCTGTTGCAAAGCATGCTTTTATGCCCTTCTTTACCGTCTGGACCATCCTTTCCGCTGCCCCATTACTTTGAGGGTGGTAGGGAGGGGTCTTGTAAGGTCTGCATCCTATTTTTCTTAGCCATTCATGCAAATCAGCATCCACAAATTCTGGTGCGTTATCAGTCACCAGTGTTCTCGGTGTCCCATTCCTCGAAAATATTACTCTTAATATTTGTTTTACGGTGGTACTTTTTTTATCAGGTACTCTCACCACTTCAGGCCAACCTGAATATGCGTCTACTAATATTAATAATAGTCCTATCCCATTGACATAGGCATGGTCCATGTGTACTCTGCTCCATGGTTCTACTTCTCGGGGCCATACATGCATTTTCTTTTGCTTAAAATTCCTGAGTTCTGTTCATTTGCATCTTTTTACGTAGTCTTCTACGTCTCTTGAGTACCCCGGCCACCAGGCTTCCAATTTTAATCTTCTTTGCGTAGCTGCCACTCCACAATGTACGTCATCGTGTACACTTTTTATAACCTGTCTCCTCTGTGTTTCTGGGGGAACTACCAAGTCTCCATTACATATTATCCCGTTTTCTATAGTCATTCTATGTCTAATTTCTTTGAATGGTCTTTCAGCCATTGAACAATTTCCCCAGCGATTCTGTTTTATCCTCGACATTATTCTATTTAACACTGGGTCATTTGTAGTTTCA